AGGAATAATAAGTATATAGTAGACTGTTGAATAACACGCAATCTGTTAACATTTTTTCACTATAACATGGATGCAAAATTGTGGGATATTTTAAATGACCTCATAAAAATCATTTTATGCAGTGGAGTACATACAGGGAAAAATTTAGCACCTTCCATGTTCTTTACCCTTTGCCTTGCAGTGAGCCTCAGGATGAGTCCCATGTCTTATGGAGGAGGCCTACATAATGTACACAACCTCCCTCACCCCAGTGCTCCATTGGTACACATCCAGTACCATACTCGGCCAGTGTAAGTGAATCGACCTTTGATCTTTTCATCATCCCACTTCGTCTCTGGCTAGTAACCATGGCATCCAAGAGGAATACGAATGATCTAGGACTACAAAGACGTACAAGCGTAAAAGTTTTGGTATATCATACCTAACTGATTAGTCGCCCATCCACCTCACACACACTGGGCCACCAACAACCACACCTTTCACCCACACTACTCACCCACAGCTTCAAGCCTACATGGCCTCAATCCGCACCTTTCACTCGCCCACATCTTGCCCACACTTTTACAGTTCTCACAACCTAATGCACTGTCCACACACATAGTCACTCACCACCCTTATTACTGCCCACACCAATAACCACACACTCACCCATCACCCACACAGGCACCAACACTGCCACCTACATGGTCACCATCACACCACCACATTGTTTCCAGCCTCCAGCTTCTGCTCCCACCCACCAACCATTCAGTACCCCCCACACAGAACCCCCTTACCCAAACTGGCCTAACCCCTTCTGTGTACACCCCAGCTACTTTAACCCCACCTTTATAACTTCCATAGTTGCAACAAGTGGGACAACTGAGCAACAAGGCACCTTTGTCTGCTAACAGAGATGTGGATGTGAGATCTTTGACTGATGTACAAAATCACATGTGCCATCAATTATTCAATTATGTATATCATTATCATTGTCTTTTACAATTTTGAGACCTATACAAAATTTGTTGGGCTTTCTTTGGAGGAGTGGGTCTAATGAACATAACCTCATTTTTCCCATATGTTGAAAAAAAATATGGGGAAGTGGAACGGAATTCTTCCTCCATTAGCCAAGTGTGTCATAAGAGGCGACTGAAATGCTGGGAGCAAGGGCTAGTAACCACTTCTCCTGTATATATTGCTAAATTTAAAAAGAAAAACTTTCATTTTTCTTTTTAGGTCACCCTGCCTTGGTGGGATATGGCCAGCATATTAAAAAAAAATAATATACAGTGCCTATAAGAAAAATTCGCATTCATTAGTTACTAGTGTAGAAACTGAGACTATTTTCAGTCCAGCTAGAGACCCTCTTCAGGCAGTACTGAAGCCCTTATATATGCAAACAAGTTAGGTGCACAAAACAAAAGATACTAGAGCAGGCTTTCAGGCAGTAGAACAAAAGATTTGAGCACCACAGTAGGCATACTGGCGACTTCACCCATAAGCATGCTCACACATCCTCAACACGTGCCAAGCAAATACTCCTACATTTTTCACATCTGAAATAGTGTAAATTCATCAAATTCATTGGTGATGGGCAGCCTAAAATAACCTTTTATTACTGAGGTCTTTGACTTTGTGTTAGTCATTATCTTTAAGATTTGTCATGTTTAAGATCGAGCATATTCACTAGTGGCTTGACATTATCATTTAGGGTATTGAAATGAGGTGATGAGTACAGCACCTGCACTCTGAAGGAGGGGTAGAGATGTTGCTATGTGGAGCTTTTTCTGAAGTGTAATGTCGGCACACTTCTTGTAAGACAACTTTTGAATGAATGATGAATGTATGTACAGCGTTTCCTCACTTAATGACAGAGTTCTGTTCCTAAGACATCAGTAAACGAATTCATCACTAAGTGAGGAGGATACTATAATGGTAGTGGGTTTGTGTCAACCATCTTTGATATTGTTTTAATGTCACCTTTACACCATTTATAACATTTCTGGTATATTTTTAAATATTTCCACAGTAGTTTACTGTATATTGGAATAAACAGAATAGAGGAAATCAGCTCTAATAGACATTATTTAGGTATGCATACTCATCAGAGAGCTCGTGGTAAGTCTGAGTCATCGGTAAATGAGTACGTCACTAAGTGAGGAAAGGCTGTATTTCCTTTTTTTTTTTTAGGTCACCCTATCATGGTGAGAGACAGCCACCCTAATAAATAAACAAATACAGTAAATCCTTGATCTAACAGACCTCAATTTAATGGACTCCAGAAATACAAGACTTAATCCACTGGGGCGACTTGGAAACGGTGGACGATCAAGTCAAAACAAACCACCACAATCGCTATTACTGACCACTCTCCTATTAGCCAGTTAAATTGGTAATTTACCATGTATAGGTGTTAAAAGTTGTTAGAGGTACTTGTCAACAGGCACATGACCTGTTTTGTGTGTGTGTGAGATATTTTTCTTTTGCCAACTTATCATAATTGTCTTAATAAAATATGAAAGTGATAAAAATTTTCTGGCATGATTGTCTGTTTTTCTGTATCTGTGAATCTGTCTATGCATGTATGTATTTCTGCAAAGGGTGTGTGTGTGTGTTACCATTTGTCAAAGCCACTTGTTGATATACACCTGGCTTTTTCTTTGTATAAAATTTATATATATATATATATATATATATATATATATATATATATATATATATATATATATATATATATATTCAACAAGTCAGCCGTCTCCACCGAGGCATTAGTATGTAGTATGTATGTATGTATGTATGTATGTATTATATATATATATATATATATATATATATATATATATCGTTTGTGTTAAAAAGATATATATATATATATATATATATATATAATATATACTATGTGTATAAATAATTATATATAATATATATATATAAATAATTATAATATATAATATATATATATATAAATATATAATAATATATATATATAATATATATAAATAAATATGTTTTCCTTATGGGAATGTAAGACAAATAAGGATTAGAAGTACCAAAATCGTGGTAAACCTCTTTATCTATCATCCAAATATTTCAAAGTATCAAACTCTATCATCAGTTCTAAAACAATTAAGAACAGTTGCTAAGGAAAATATCTCTGAATATCAGAATAAACAAGTTCTATTTAAATTTATCAACTTTAAAATATAACTGAGGTGTATAATGAACAATATCATAACATTTATACTTATACAGTTTATGTATTCATTATGCCTCTTCAGTTGTTCACACTGATGTATTTCATTCATGCACATATACAGTAGAAAACCAAAAGCTGCACAATTATAGCTTCTATTTTCAATATTCTGCCATTTAAATTGTTTTTTATTTCCAACAAAAGTCTTCTCGTTTCCATTAAGGCGTGCCAGAGCAGAATTTGTTTCCATTGTTTGCTGGCATTTCTGTTAAGGCAGGCAGGAGACTCATGACTACTCACTGGGTAACTCCATTGCTTTAGCATTGCAAAAGAGGCTGAATGGATGTAAGTGAACAGCCTCCCACGTGGGTCAGTGTTTATCATTAAGTTTTTCCTTTTCATCACCCCATCTCATCACTGGATATTTATCATGGTATCCAAACAAAAGTGCTGGTGAAGCAAGGAAGAACATTGATCATGCCTATTTAGAAAATGTTAGATGTAATCGAGATGCTGAAAGGTGGTGCACAGTTCATAGATTCCTGTTTGAGAATCAACAATTCAATGAGAGTGAGATGAAGGCTTGTGCGATGAGTAATCATCAGTGTGACACAGTGAAATGAATGAGGAATAGGTCATTACAGCTAAATAAAACAAAGTTTACTAAATGTGTGGATTGAAAAGCAAAGAAAGGTGTTCCACTTGATGGCCTTGTTATTAGGGCAAAAACTTGATTGTACTCTAAAACATGTGAGGAGGAAGTACAGCCCAAATGCGCAGGGGAAAACAAACCAACGGCATATGATAAAATGCATCGGCACTCCATGTCAACAATCAACTGATGAAGTTGCATCAACACCCCAAGATCACCACCCATGAACTTGGGCCTAGTAGGGCCACAGTGCTGCTGCCCTTGGATGCTGGAGTTTGTTACTCTGAAACGCTTGGATAATAGGTGAAGATGTCTGTTAGTGAAATGATTACCATGGCTTTCGTATTTCTGTATATATGCATATACACATACATGAACATGTATTATAGATGCAGTATAATAATCTGGCATCACACATTCTAACATGCAAGAGACTTTATACAGTACAGTACTGTATATGCATTTAAAATGCTATTTTATCATAACCTTCTGTATAACAAATTTTTACTTTTGTTGACATTATACCATGTAAATGAAGTGGGTAGTAGAAATTTAGTGCTGAGGAGATATTTGGTTGAGTCGTGTGTAAAATCATAAGAGCATTATTGAAGGGAATATAGAATTGCCTTTTTGTTGTACCTTCCTTTTTATGTTGGTTTTAATATTAATCAAGTGTCATATAATGTCCATACCAACAAGATTAACAAGCAAGGTTCTCCCCCTCTCCGCCCATTCCTAAACAAAATTGTATGTACAGTACAGTTCTGGCCTCGAGAAGCAATTGTCAAACTTTCAAGTTCTGTTATCTCTTGAAATACTATACGTGTACATTTTTACTATGTTATTACTGCTTATTTGATATACTAGCTACTTACCGAGCATCATGAAACTATAAAAAGAATTAGGAGTTTTTTCTCTAGGATACAGGCAGTGCTTACTGGTCTTGACCTCAGCTGTGATCTAGCTATTTGTGTGTGTTGATGCAACAGTTTGCAAGTTCACAGTATGAAGTGCAGATTCACACTACCTATTGATTTACTTCCATTTGAATGCTGCTTCAAACTCAATTTAAATCCTGTTGTATCAGTATATATTTTTTAGTGATGCTGATCCCATGAACATATGCCATTAAAGACAGGAGGTGGGGGAAAACTTTGTAAATAAAAATGACTGTTGAGGGATGGTACTCTTTATTCTCTGGTCAAAGAGATCATTTGATAGAAGCTGACATTGTACCTAATAATATGCCATGTGTGTGTTTCTGTGAATGCTTGCCCACACACATTTGTACGCCTGACCATGTACATATATATACATATTACGTAGTACATTGACAACATGCAAGCATATATACATACCTCTATAGACACATGCAAAAATAAGCTAATCTGATATATAATAATGCCAGACAAGATTTGACATCTGACATATTGCTCAGGCACCGTGAACTTATTTGATGCTTCAGAGATGTGGCCTTATACATGTGATGCAGCTTGTGCATTTACCAGTCATCCAACACTTGTCAGTCTGTGGTGAAAGAATGAAACTGCATTCTGCCTGTCTTGTATAGAAACATTATGTGGGGTATATTGGGCCATGTTATATTCTTTGGAATTTAATCTTCAGGATCTATCATCATTATATTCCCATCAAAGAATATACTTGTTTGCACCCTGGTATTTTTTATTCCTTTTAGCCATTTTTTCCTAACTTTATACTCTCAGGCACTGCCGGGTGTTTGCTCTAATAGAGGAATAAGATTTACCTGTATTCACTGACATTAGATTACTGATTCAGGCAAATCTTGTTCATTTTAGTTTGAATGGAAATTGAGTGCATGTCAGAAATACATTTATGCATGTTGATAAAATATTGGGATCGAGACTGCAAAATGTACTTTATTATATTAGCCAAGGTATTGAGTGAACTAACATAATCTCTTCCTTTGTCTAGTCTGCCATCTAGTTTCCTCACCAATTACTTGCAGACCTACTTTCAGAAATTGTGTAACTAAAAATTTATATACAATCTGAAACAAACCTTCCTGGCAGTGCCCCACACGTCTGTAATGTGTATGGTTGCGGTATACAGTGTGTGATTGAGTGTAAATATTATTGATAAATATATTAGTCAACTTTCAAACTGTTTGATTTTATTACCTAATTACTTATCATGATTATTATAATATAAAGAAAAAAGCTAAACCTCCATGGGTCACACAGCCCTGAAGTGGTGTGTAAACATGGAGTTAAAAGTTAGTAAAAGAGAAAAATAAAAGAAAGACTGCTTTAAAGGAAACTTTCAGCAAGGCACCAGTTAGTCTAAGTGTTCCTGATGTTTAAAGTGGATTCTACGCGATCTAAATGCTGTATGACCCTTGTGGACTTAGTAGTTGTTTTGTTTGTAATAATAATAATACTGAAAGCTCTCTAACTCAGAAACAGCCTGAGACTGCAAATCTGGCCAAAATGGGAAAAACAACAAAATATCCATTTGGAGAAAGAATGACTATCAATTAAAATAACTTTGCAAGCTATTGAACAATTATGTATTTCAGAATTTCATTTCTTTGATGTGGCAAATGACCAAGAACAGGTCACAAAAGAGAAACTAAACAGCCAATGGCTAACCAGTCACATCAGATAGGGATTAATACCCAAAGACCTAGCCAAAATATACTAAAACTCACCAAACTAGTATAAAAATTAAAACCGCTGTCTATGCAGTCACTGAAACAGAGAACATAAGACCTGGAAAACACTCTCCCACATGCAATCATTTTATACAATATTAGAAATGGCACTTTGAAAGAATGCAGTTTATCGAATACAAAATACAAAAATTCATGTTATTTTCTTTGGAGTGAATTTCAAGGCAGCAGAGTTGATGCAGTAACGGAGTCCAGTTGGTTCAGGGCCATCTGGAAACACATGGCCCAAGTGTGCTTTGCACTAGGAAGAAATAAACAATTAAAAATTGGGCAACAAACAGTAAACAGAGGTATTTCTGTTTTCCATTAGAATTAACTCTGTAGTTTAACCTCATTGGTATTATTCACTATGACTTCTGACAAGTGTAACAATTTTGTTTCTTCACATTTATTCAGTTTTTAAAGTTGAAAGTGGTGACTTTATTAATGCTGTAATTCTCCAGTTAATATTCTAAGCAATGACGACTAGTTTAATAATAATAATACTCAATGGGGAAGTGGAAAAGAATTCTTCATAAGAGACTAAAATGCTTGAAGGGGCTAATAACTCCTCCTCCTGTATAAATTACTAAATTTAAAAAAGAAAAACTAACGTTTTTCTTTTTAGGTCACCTGCCTCAATGGGATACGGCCGGTTCGTTGAAAAAAATAATAATCTTTATTTCTACAAGTACATTTAAAAGATATACAGGCCTAGCTGACATCAATGATATACTACTATATAGAAAGCCCCATACAGATAATTTTTAACAGTTTCTATAAATATAATTAAGTATAACTTACATAGGGATAGATTTTGAAATGAACTGAGGTTCAACAATAGCTCACAGCCTGTAAATTCACAGTACACAACATACTATACATGGGAAAAATGCTGATATATAAGAATGTTGATACATAAGAATGTTCTTTAGTGATGCCTAATGAACAGTATCAAATATTTTTCATTATTATCTCTGTCCAATTTCCTATTAATGTATAGCCAGGTCTCGATTGTGAGAGTTCAAATAATGCAAATTTTTATTTAGTTCAAAATTAATTAATGCTAGTTTTCACCCTGGAACTTCAAATTTTGCACAAAAATTACAAATAATTTGAAGAGTGCAAATTTGAATAATGGCAACCCGCATTATAAAATAAAACTACGTATAGGTAATATTCAATGCCCTTATTTAAATCCCCAAACCTTTAAAATCTAAAAGATTACCATACTGGTGAAGTAAATTTAAAAATGCCCAAAGATTGAGAAACAGAAGATCAGCAAATCATGAGGTCAATATTAGAAAGCAAAATCTTTTGAGTCCTCATGGATCAGAGCTGTGGTATTTAACCTATTCACTGCCAAAATCCCGGAAATTAAAAGTGCTTGGTGGCCACATTTTCCCCCCCAAAAACAAGAAATTATTTTTTCTTCTGAAATGGTAGAGAATCTTTTTTTCTGAAGGTAATGACACCATTAGTACGAAATTTGATGGAAAATTTATGGAACTGAGCAGGCCCAAAGTTAGTAGCCTGGGTGCAACTTACACACTGGTGATTTAACCCATTTTGAGTCCTATTTCATGGTAATTCCACAGCTTAATTCAACCAGATTCCTAGCTATTTTGCTAGTATGCCTTCTGTTCTATCAAATGAATACAAGAAAACACCCATTCATCTACCAAAACTAGCCTATAAAGTGCACAGAAGTTGGCAATTTGGCCAATTTTACACATTTAACAAAAAATACAATTTAAAAACAGAGTCCAAAATAAACACTGTAGACATTCTAGGCACTAAAATCATATTTCTTTCGTTCATTAATCATTCACAGGTATCCCCTATTTTACACTAGCACTCCATTTTGAATTTATCACAAAGATATACCCTATTTCTCAGACAATAAAATATAACCAGGAATGACTGGTCTTGGTTTACAGCATCCAAATAATTGAAACAGACTTAATATAAACCTATAAAACAGACCAGGGTGTGAAGGGAAAGCTTTACCCATCCTCAGAAAAATAGGCAAAAATCGAATATTTCTATTAATTTTGACCCCTCAAGGGAAGTTCCTTGATGCTGGTGAGGGGCTCTTGATCTAGGGAATTGGATCTGTGCTCCAGTTCCCTGAATTGAGCCTAAATACCTTCCATCCCCCCACATATGCTGTATAATCATACAGGTTTAGTGCTTCACCATGATTATGATAATAATTCCACTAATTTGAGGCTGATTTAAAGCTATTCCTTGTCCTGGGACCAACCAAAATCATCTATCAATAATATGTCTTCCATCCTATCAAATGACACCAAGAAACAGGCAATAAAACATTAAAAACCATGCTAGAAAACACCTCAAAATTGCTATTTTAAACCAAACACAAAGCCAAAGTTTTGCTTTTCCCATCATGCACTGCATGGAGCAAGATTTCTTTTATACTGTGCACACTCACTGCACAGACCCATTCTCTCACATATAGGCCAAAATTTATCCCTGCTTATCTGAGTGAGCTGAGCACATGACATAGATCTATGTGAGGGATCCTGGCATCAATAACTGATCTACATGATGGACAGTGAGAGGGCTAAGGAAGGCAAAGGGTTGAGACAGATTCAGATGGAAAATCATGAATCATAATGAAACCACACCAAAGGAATTGATGGCAATTATAATTAGATAATAACAAGAGTAGTCTAGGTAAGGATAAAACTAGCATCTACTAATAGTCTACCAAGGAGATAAGGGAATACTGTACATAAGAAGATATATCATATGTGAATAGTAGACTGTGGAACAGTGTAAGTAAAGTCTGAGCATAAAATCTAGTGTACAAAATATAAGTAGTAACAATGTTGGTAGAATTACCAACAATAAGTTAGGTAAAAGGACACATGTGCAACTAATGTGACATTTTATTGTGGTAAAGTTTTGCTCTCCAGCTTGATAAAGCACCTGGAAAGCAAAACATTGCCATAATAAAATGTCACATTAGTTGCATATGTGTCCTTTTACCTTACAAAATATAAGTATGCACAAGAGGTACACTTTTTTTGTACGAGACATCAAGACACAGGTCAACAGGTTATGAGACAGCAGAGGCAGGAAGACTGGCTGTGTGACAAGTCATATTTTTCTGCAGACAAATGAATACTGGAGAAAGCTGGGAGATCAACAATTGAAGCTCACCTAAATAATCCCTCAAGCCTCTGAAATTCCCTTGTGTGACAGAGAAAAATAAAGAAAAGGGAAAAAAAAATCTGCATCAGTAAAGGGACCAGACAATAAAAACCAGGGAAATTAGGAGTCTCAGGTGAATACAGAATGTATCAAGAGATGAACTAACTCACTGAAATCTGGAGATGACCTATTACCATATTTGGATACTTTCCACTATTTGCCTATTTAACTTAAAATCTCTGAGCACACTGAAAGCCATAACTTTGATTCTAATCCCATCCATGATAACTTTCTTACACCACACTATACTCTCATGAGAATTTCATTCACACAACTATAAATAATAGCAATACTCCCACTTTAACACTCCCTCTAAGCTTTAGGCATGTGATTAGGACTGTTACTATTGTCTGACACAGTGTAGTGCCAGTATTATACACTATTGTGTATAATACTGGCACTATTATATACAATACTGTCATTTTTCATTATATTCTTCAACTAAACAAACCTAAATTGCAGTATATTAGAAGTTTTAATCTTGAAATTAGAGAGCAGCTTACCTCCTTGCACAAGGCCTCAGTTCGAACCATCATATGAGAATTATCTGTGCGAGTTTCCACTTTGCTGGCATCTTCTCCTTCAGCAGTATAGAAAGATGGCCATCCACTTCCCGATTCAAATTTTGCTTCAGAACTGAAAATAAATACAGATCATATACTTCAACAAAATTCCCAACTTGCACATGATTCACAACTTTGTAAATCCCCCCCCCCAAAAAAAATGAGAAAATAAAAGGTTAATCCAAATTTTTGTCTTTATTTCAAAATATTTTGATTTATATACAGTGGACCCCCGCTTAACGATCACCTCCCAATGCGACCAATTATGTATGTGTATTTATGTAAGTGCGTTTGTACATATATGTTTGGGGGTCTGAAATGGACTAATCTACTTCACAATATTCCTTATGGGAACAAATTCGGTCAGTACTGACACCTGAACATACTTCTGAAATGAAAAAATATCGTTAACCGGGGGTCCACTGTATTACTATTTATTAATAATTACAGTATGTAAAGTGCTAAACCAGTGTAGGTCATTCAACATAAGGCATATAAAAATTTCAAATAAAATATTTTTTGTTTTTACCTAAACAAGTCTGATCCACAACAGACACATTGGTAGACACCTTCCCCATGATGTTCGTAATATGCACCACTGAATGGCTGTTGAAAATAAAAGTATTTAACATTAATGGATAAGACATGTGCACATGATACATCTTTAAGTTACTTGACACTATTAACTGCAGCAATACAATTATTACCAAGCATGTTTAAATTCAAAATGAGTGACTGTGAATGTATTTCCAACTTCAGGTAATCCTACCTTGGTGAAAAATGACCTGCGTCAATTATCTTTGAACCCTGTTCAGCTATCAAAACTTGGGGCCCAGTTCCTGGACCGACAATGTACCTCTGTAACCTGTAAGTACCTTTGTAACTTATCATGATTGTGACCAGATCTACCTGGAATTCATTACCTTTGTAACTTGCTCAGCTATCAAAACTTTGGGGCCAAGTCCCTGAACCCATTATGTACCTCTGTACTCTCTTGACTGCCACCCACAGGATGGGTATGGGGTGCATAATAAAGATGTTAAACTAACTGTCAAAACAACAAAGTTTTTAATATCATATCGGAGAACTATTGTCCTACTGTAAACAATTATTATATTACATTTGCATTAACTAGCATACATTGAAAGCAAAACAGAGGAAAATAATCATAGTTTCTTAACAATCAAATCAAATAATATACAAGTAAGATTACTTATTTCTAGGTTAAACCATACTTAAGTGATGATTATTATTCATGGGAAGTGCTTAACCCATGTGAGTCACTTACCGCTGTACAGCAAAGGTGAGGCTGATAATAGTGAAAAAAGATAAAAATATTCACGGTAAGCCCAAGGCAAAATACGAAGTGTCTTACAGTTGATGCAGTAAATCAGTTTAGGTTGAAAAATCATAGAAAGAATCTACAGTAAAAATATAAGGGACAATTAGTCAAAATCTGTTTGGGCTGTCAGCATGACCTAATACGTAATTCTGACAGTCGCACTTGTTCTACTACTTCAACAATAACATTCTTACCGGCTCTGTGCCACCTTCTTGTGTGACGTAATACTGATCTGGAGTTAGCACCTTCTTCCACTCACTGGCAGTCATTTCTTTTACATTTTTTGTGTTGGGAACACCAGCCACTAAAAAAAATACAGATCAGAGATATATTTTGGATAATTTTATAAGAAATAAAAAATTTGTTTTGCTTACAGACATAACACATTAACTTACCAACCATGGTTTTACAAACTTAAGATAACTTTTTGTCTTTTAATTAATTTTTTATAATACTGTATAAGTACGGTATTTAGTTACAATTAGTTGATAGAGGTACTTTGTCCAATGGTGACTCCATCTCCTCCTGCCTCTACTTGTTTGATTGCAGTCTGCAAGTCACTTCTCCAAGCATATGCTGCACTATTCTCAAGATTGATGGATTGAACACATAAGACCCCAGGCTGAGGGACTGATTACCTCAAACTTCTCCTTATATTCCACTGGTCTTCTCTGTATTGGACTGAAGAAGCCACTAGGTGGCAAAAACATTTCCTCAATAAGGATTCCTAAATGTTGCACAAGTGTCTCATTCTTCAACTTTACCACAGCTCATCTTTCTCAGGACCTCTTCTGAGCCTGACCTTAGGGTGCATTTTAGTATATTGTACTTGATAAAGTCTGGTCCTGTTTGAAATGTAGTATTAAAATTTTCATTGGAAAATAGTGCCCTTTTTCACTACCTGTCAGTTTATGCCATCATTCATCCAGTCTATGTACATATTTACTAGTAGTAAAGATTACTTTAATAACAGCAAAACAAGAAAATTCATATTTAATAAATACTATTGTGAATTATTATTATGTGAGCAAATTACCTGGATGAGGTTTACAGGACATTACCTGAATTATTATGTGCAAGTAATTTGGGTGAGATAAGTGGAACTTAAGTCACTGCAGGTTGCTGAACTGTAATCTCTTGATGCCCATTTCTTCACCACTCTCACAAAAAGCTGGACAGGGGACAGTAACACGGGTTCCTATTACAAATTCAGGCCGAAACCCCCCCAATTTAGCTCGGAAGATGCAGGATTATTAGCGGAATTTCCCATGACAACCAGCGTTCACAAATTACAAATGGTGTCCTCTATTTTTCTGTCCTTGTTGCCAAATTGTAAAGGTTTTCCGCACTATTTATCCCAATTCTTCAGCAGGAACATGTCAGCAATTTCTAAATTATGGATTGAGGCCGATTTATACCAAATGACCTTCAAGAACGTCTGATTACATTGCACAATTCAACCAGTGTTCACAAATTAAATTCAATACAGCGTGCCCTCTGCAGCGTCACTCCCCTGGCTGTTCTGCCTCCCCCTCTCACTCGAAATTTCTCAAAGGGTCCAAATAATATCACATTTTAATATGCAATTACATTATTCATTTATGTGTTCCACATTTACTAAATTATGCAAAATATTTCCACAAATACTTTATTGTGTGAGATTTTATTCACTTGTTTTATTCATATAATGCACTGAAAAGATTCATTTCTTGTAGAATTTAATTATATTAATATTTTAGATGCTCTATATTATAAACAGTATTAAAAAAAAATGCTCACAAGGTAAGGAAAAGAGGCTATCTTAAAAGCTAACATTTAGGAGCAAGTGCCAGGCAAAGACATGGACATGGCAAACGTATGAGCTGTAGTATGGTGAGGCAGACAACTGTTAATAAACAGAGACAAATCGAGTATGCATCCTTGGAAAAATGAATATTGTTTTGATCAAGGAAAAAACTAAACAAAATAAATATTTTTACAGTAACAAAGAATAGATCTCAACAATATCCTGAGTGAAACGTCTGGAGTTGTTATTAATATAATAAAAAAAGAAGTGCTAAATGCACTACGGTCGTACCGAATACAATATTTAGGGTTACCTTCCAATTCTAGCTTGTCAGGAGAATTGGCCAGGGCTTTTGATCTAATGGATGAAATTTTGGGCCTTCTCATGGCCAGTGTTGGGCTCTTTTATGACCACAGTTTTGGATCCTATGACTGGAGTTTTGAGCCCTGTTATGGCCACTTTAAGGCCAGGGGTTTTGTGTCCTCTCATGGCCAGGGTTATGGCTCTCTTATGGCTGGAATTTTGGGCCCTCTTATGGCTGGGATTTTGGGCCCTCTTATAGCCAGGGTTTTGGGCCATCTTATAGTCAGGGTTTTGGGCCCTCTTATAGTCAGGGTTTTGGGCCTTCTTATAGCCAAGGTTTTGGACCTTCTTATAGCCAGGGTTTTGGGCCTTCTTATGGCTGGGATTTTGGGCCCTCTTATGGATGGAGTTTTTGGCCCTTTCATGGCCAGGATTTATTGGTCCTCTCATGACTGGGATTTTGGACCCTCTTATGGCCTGTGTTTTGGGTCCCCTTAAGACTGGGGTTTTGGGTCCTCTTAGGACTGAGATTTTGGGTCCTCTTAGGATTGGGGTTTTGGGCCTTGTATGGCCAGGGTTCTGGGTCCTCTTAAAACTGGGGTTTTGGGCCTTGTATGTCCAGGGTTCTGGGTCCTCTTAGGACTGGGATTTTTGGTCCTCTTTGGATTTGGGTTTTGGGCCTTGTATGGCCAGGGTTTTGGGTTCTCTTAGGGCTGGGGTTCTGGGTCCTCTAGACTAGGGTTTTGAGTCCTCCTAGTATTAGGGTTTTGGGTCCTCTTAGGACCAGGATTTTGGGTCCTCTTTTAGCTGGGGTTTTGAGCCTTCTTATGGCCAGAGTTTTGGCCCTCTTATAACAGGGATTTTGTGCTGTCTTGTGGCTGTGGTTTTGGGCCTCTCATATGATCAGGGTTCTGGCCATTATGACCATGATTCTCAGTCCTCTTATGCCCAGAGTTCTGGGCCCCTCTTATTGCTGTCGTTTTAGGCCTTTTTATGGATTTTCGATCTTCTTATTGCTGGGGTTTTGGATCCTCTCATGGCCAGGGTTTTGAGCCCTTTTTTGGCTTCAATTACAGCCCTTCATATGCCAGGGCTTTTAGGCCTATTTATGGCCCGGTTTTAGAGGCCATTTTTAATCAGGCATTTAACCGTACTGCTAGCCGGGTTTTTCTTATTATCGGTTTTGGTCTCTCCAGTGGCAGTTATAAGATTATTTTGCGGCTACCAGAAATGCTCTGCATAACCAAAGGCTTTCTGCATTATTTTTACAATCAAAACTAAGCGCTAAACTCACAGGGGTTATGCAGAAGGCTTTCTATAAAGTACGTCAAAAATGTCACTATTTTTTCTGAAAGAGATAAGATTAAGAAACACTGCAAACCATACTCGCAGAAAGCAGTGTTGTTATTATTATTATCATCATGATTATCATTATGAAGAGCTCACCTGAAGAGACAGCAAGACCTCTGACACTATTGTTTCTGAGGAGTGAGAGGAAGAATGTGGAGGAGAGTCTGGCCTGACACCTGCCAGCCAGTCCAGCCATCATGCTAGTGATGTTGTTGTTGTTGTTGTTGGGTTCGAGGGCCACCACAACTTACGCCGTATTGAACCCTGTAAGTAAGTAGGTAGGTAGGTAACTAGGTAAGTAGGTAAATAAGTAGGTATATAAGTAGGTAAGTAGGTGGGTAGGTAAGTAGGTAGGTAAGTAGGTAAATAAGTAAGTAGGTAAGTACATAAGTAGGTAAGTAAGTAATAATAATATCTTTATTAAGTTCAGTAGTAAGTTTATACAGGTATAGGTATACATAAATACAGTTACATAAATTATCACACATAGCAGCACATGTGCAGATTACCTAGGATAACCCCCCCCCCAAAAAAAAAAAAAGTCAAAGTGACTTATTTCCACTGGAAGCATGCCCAATGTTTCACCCATTCCGGGAGCAATCCCGGTCCCTCAGTAATACTACTACTAGTACTACTACTACTACTACTACTACTACTACTACTACTAATAATAATAATAATAATAATAATAATAATAATAATAAATCTTTATTTCTACAAGTACATGCACAAAGTATACAGGCCTAGCTGACATCAATGACATGCTACTATACAGAAAGCCCCCTTGTTATGCAGAGCATTTTCGGCAAATTAGGTCAGTTTTGTCCCAAAGATGTGACTCACACCAGTCGACTAACACCCAGGTATGTACCTATCTACTGCTATGTGAACATGGACAGCGGATGTCTTAAGGAAACACGTCCTAATATTTTCACCCGTACTGGAGATCGAACTACAGACCTCACTGTGGAAGCTGAGTGCGCTACCAACCCATTCCCGGTCCCTCAGTATGAGTGCTAAGGACGCTATCATCCAAGCCACGAACACCGAGAAAAATATACTGTCTTATTCTGGGTAAGAATGGGGAAGGTAATCATGTGATGTCAGTGGTTTAGAAAATCGACAAGTTGAAGAATAAGACACCAGTGCAACATTTGGGAATATCAATAAAGATTCCCAAATATTGCACTAGCGTTCCGTTCTTCAAATTTTGTCATCTCCAACTCAAATCTACATTCCGTCAACAACATTGTTAATGGAGAACTCTTAAAAATATCAACCTGAATAACTAACAAAAAACTCACACTTAACATTGACAAGACCTTCTACATGATGTTTGGGAACAGAGCAACGAATGTCCAACTAAACGTTAAGATTAGCAATACCTCCTCTTGCTAAACAAAACGAAGGAAACTTTCTAGATCTGTTCCTTGACAGCAACTTGAAATTCAACATCCATATCCAACACATTACGAAAAAAGTATCCAAAACAGTTGGCATCTTTTCTAATATACGTTACTATATACTACATCAAACATCATTACTTAGACTACTACACTCTAAGCTATCACTACCTCACCTACACTATTTGTACCTGGAAATCCACAACAGCAAATCACCTTAAACCAATAACAACTCAACAAATAGCGGCAGTACGAATGATCACTCAGTCTACTGCTAAACAACACACTCCCCCACTTTTCAAAAACATAAACCTACTTACTATACATAACATTCACTCATACTACTTTGTAAACTACAATTAAAGAACATGAAATTCTCATATCAATCCTGACCTGAGAAGCTTTCTTGATAGTCGCAACAGAACCCATAGGCATAATACTAGACAAAAATCTGCATGACGTTCCCCGTGTCTGTCTTAATCTTTGTAAAAACTCAATGTGCATAAAAGGACCCAAAATTTGGAACTCCCTACTAAAAACTCCAGAGCCATCAACTGATGGACTGAACACATCGATTCCAGGTAGAGAGACTGATTGCCTCAAGCTCCTCTTTTCCCACCATTCTTCTTTGTATTGGACTGAAGAAGCCATTGGCTGGCGAAGCGTTGCCTCAATAAATATTCCTAAATGATGCCAAAGTGTCTCATTCTTCGACTTGCATAACACTGCCCAGTCCCTCACTACTCTCGTTCTGGGATTCCCAGATTCGTCGTCGCCTCCATATTATATTTTAACTTTAGGAATGCTCAGTTTTATATTCCTCATACCCCTTACTGTGTGGTAGTTCTCAATCAATCTTATCATCATCCTGGATACTCTCCTCACCCCGGGTGCTGACCTAAGGTGCACTCTGTGGATAAATATATCCTATCTTCCTCCATCTTCTAGTAAAATCCTGTACGTACTTCCCTCATTTAACTTACAGGTGATACACACCTCCAGCAATTGTCTTCCTGGCCCTAATAGTTTGATGCCAATATTGGGCTCCTGTGTGACCAGTCTTTCCATACAGGAAACACCCCATTGAATCAGGTCCATTATCTTGCCCCAAATTTCGCAAAAAAAAACTTTATATGAATGCGGTCTTTAAAATTTCCCCACTGAAGTGGTTGGTGGTATATACACAAAGTATCTAGTATACTTTGTGACAGTATTAGACAATCTGGGAGGCCATTGCATCTTAGATTATCGCAAAATGGCTACAACATCCGGACAGCTCCAGAACCAAATGCTTCAAATATTCTAATTATTCTTAAGACTCGTCATTGTGGAGTCTTTACATACACACACACACACACACACACACACACACACACACACACACACACACACACACACACACACACATATATATATATATATATATATATATATATATATATAGCCTCTTCACTGGTCGCTACTGGGTCACTCTTCCTGCTCCATGAGCTTTATGATACCTGTTCTTAAAGCTATGTATGGATCCTGCCTCCACTACATCACTTCCCAGGCTATGTGTATGTGTGTGTGTGTGTGTGTGTATGTGTGTGTGTGTGTGTGTGTGTGTGTGTGTGTGTGTGTGTGTGTGTGTGTGTGTGTGTGTGTGTGTGTGTGAGTGTGTGTGTGTACTCACCTATTTATGGTTGCAGGGGTCGATTCATAGCTCCTGACCCAGCCTCTTCACTGATTGCTACTGGGTCCTCTCTCTCCCTGCTCCATGAGCTTTATCAAACCTCTTCTTAAAACTATGTATGGTTCCTGCCTCCACTACTTCACTTGCTAGGCTATTCCACTTCCTGACGACTCTATGACTGAAGAAATACTTCCTAACGTCCCTGTGACTCGTCTGAGTCTTCAGCTTCCAGTTGTGACCCCTTGTCCCTGTGTCCCCTCTCTGGAACATCCTATCTCTGTCCACCTTGTCTATTCCCCGCAGTATCTTGTATGTCGTTATCATGTCTCCCCTGACCCTTCTGTCCTCCAGTGTCGTCAGTCCGATTTCCCTCAACCTTTCCTCGTACGACATTCCCCTGAGCTCTGGGACTAGCCTTGTTGCAAACCTTTGTAGTTTCTCTAACTTCTTGACGTGCTTGACCAGGTGTGGGTTCCAGACTGGTGCTGCATACTCCAGTATTTGCCTAACATACACAGTGTACAGTGTCTTGAACGATTCCTTGTTAAGGTATCGGAACGCTATTCTCAGGTTTGCCAGGCGCCCGTATGCTGCAGCAGTTATTTGGTTGATGTGTGCCTCCGGTGACATGCTCGGTGTTATGGTCACCCCAAGGTCTTTCTCCCTGAGTGAGGTCTGTAGTCTTTGTCCACCTAGCCTATACTCTGTCTGCGGTCTTCTTTGCCCCTCCCCAATCTTCACGACTTTGCATTTGGCAGGATTGAATTCGAGAAGCCAGTTTCTGGACCACTTGTCCAGCCTGTCCAGGTCTCTTTGCAGTCCTGCCTCATCCTCATCCGATTTAATTCTTCTCATCAATTTCACATCATCTGCGAAGAGGGACACTTCAGAGTCCATTCCTTCCATCATGTTCGCATATATCAAAAATAGCACTGGTCCTAGAACTGACCCCTGTGGGACCCCGCTCGTCACAGGCGCCCACTGTGATACCTCTTCACGTACCATGACTCGTTGCTGCCTCCCTGTCAGGTATTCCCTGATCCATTGCAGTGCCCTCCCTGTTATATGCGCCTGATCCTCCAGCTTCTGCACTAATCGCTTGTGGGGAACTGTGTCAAAGGCCTTCCTGCAGTCTAGGAAAACGCAGTCAACCCACCCCTCTCTCTCGTGTCTTACTTCTGTTACCTTGTCATAAAACTCCAGGAGGTTTGTGACACAGGATTTGCCTTCCATGAACCCATGCTGGTTTTCATTTATAATCTTGTTCCGTTCCAGGTGTTCCACCACTCTCCTCCTGATAATCTTCTCCATAACTTGGCACACAATACATGTCAGAGACACAGGTCTGTAGTTTAGTGCCTCATTTCTGTTTCCTTTCTTAAATATGGGGACTACATTTGCTGTCTTCCATTTCTCAGGTAGTTGCCCAGTTTCAAGAGATGTGTTGAAGAGTGTGGTTAGGGGCATGCACAGCATCTCTGCTCCTTCTCTAAGGACCCATGGGGAGATGTTGTCCGGTCCCATCGCCTTTGAGGTATCAAGGCCACTTAGCAGCTTCTGCACCTCCTCCTCGGTTGTTCGTATGTCATCCAACACTTGTTGGTATATGTATGTGTGTGTGTGTGTGTGTACTCACCTATTTGTACTCACCTATTTGTGGTTGCAGGGGTCGAGTCTTAGCTCCTGGCCCCGCCTCTTCACCGGTGTGTGTGTGTGTGTGTGTGTGTGTGCGCGCGCGCGTGTGTCGTGCCGAATAAGTAAAACATACGATTTCTGCTTAAATAGCAACACACTCCTTGCCGGATAGGGAAAGCGAAAATGTCTGTATGCAGTAATTTCGCAAAAATCATTCTGAATCTAACGAAAAAAAATATATTTCATTGTTTTTGTTCATTAAATTACTGTAAGCTTATATAAAATATATTCAGTTGGATTATGTTATATTAAACTGCGCTTGTTATAAAGTTAGGCAAGTTTCCTAACGTTCTTTTGGTACAAAATCCTTAATTTTTATATTAACATAAATGAAAAAATGTATCTTTAAATGTATAAAATAAAATTTTAGAAACGACTTAATTTTAAGTGAGTTCTTGCTAATTGACCAGTTTTACCTATTCGCCACGACATATATGCAGAATAATCACAAACAGGCGATCTTAA